TGACAAATAATCAAATGGATGAGTTGACCATATGTTGGCCTCCTTTCTAAGGTTTTGGTAACCCAAAATGTCATTTTTTTAAAAATATCGCAATATGCTTTGGTATTTCCATTAGGTGCGGACAAAATAACGCAACTAGCATGATCACTTACTAGACCTTTTATTTCGGTCCTCTGAAATCTCCCATTTGTTCAAGCTTTGTAGGCTCCTCTAACGAAGGAAGTGAAAAAATATCGGTCTAAAAATGAAATTATTGAGTGCACGTGTGAAATTAACTATAACAGGTGTTCCTTAACTCCCTTAGTCCATCATTATCGAAAATTTCTTGTTTAGGTAAATTTGATTTAATTTGTCGTGATCTGGCTAGCTGAATCCATAAAGCAGGGGCGTTCAACCAATTGCTTTAGAGGGATAGCTTAATATTATAATCACTTTTATCAGGTTTTACTGAAGGGTTCATCTCATCACAAAGTCTTCGGCCTGACAAAAGCAGTGGATCAAACACCGAATTGCCAATTATTCGAGCAAAGTCATGGTTTGAATATAATCTATTTATAAGGCCAGGGCTTTCAAGATCTCCTCGGCCGGAAATCTCGGTGGCCGGTGTGTGGTGGCGTTCAGGCTTCTGGTAACTTTGATTTGATCTTGACCGTTGGATTGGGTCAGATCCAACGGTCCAAGATCGGCCGCGGCGTGATGGCTCTTTATGGGTTAAACAAACCCTAACTCCCTTGCTATATTGGTCGTTGATTTCTTTGTTGATCAACAGTCCCCTGTTGTGCGGCGCTGTGACATATGCTGAAACCCTAGTTTGACCTCTGGGCTGGATCAGGCCCGTTTGACTGGATTTGGACCCGTTTTTGGACCTGAAAAAAACAAAAACAAATGAAATGAAATGAAATTAAATTAATAATAAAATAAAATAAAATAAAATAAAATAAAAAATAATATGATATAAACTATATAATATATATATTCAAAAATATTTTTTAGAAAACTATATACTTTAAAAAAGTTTTCAAAACTATATATTACATCGTTTCCAAAATGTTTTTTAAAATATTATATAAGTTTTCAAAAAAAATGTTTTTAAAACTATATATTATATAATTTTACAAAAAAATGTTTTTAAAACTATATACTATATATGTTTTCAAAATGTTTTAAAAACTATATAATATTTAAACGTTTTCAAAATATTTTCAAAACTATATATTATATATATTTTCAAAAACCATTTGCAAACTATATAATATATAGACGTAAATGTAAATAAAAAAATGGACGAAAATGAGTGTCTACACTTCTTCTCCTCTCTAAAAGGACCAGTACCATTGCTTTTGCCAGTAGGTTAGACGATGTTGTACTATTCTTCTTCTTCTTCTTATTGCTGCTAAAAAGATTAGTACCAATGATGTTATCATTGCTTTTGCCAGTGGGTTTGACGATGTTGCACTACTCGAAGCAGGTATTGATGCTGTAAGTTGGTTGCATTCGAGCTTTTCATTCGTCCTATCCAATTTAAATTAGGTTTGTTAGATGTTGAATAAACAAATAGTATCCCTTGTGCAAACCTCCCAATTCATCCATACGATAAACTAAGTTTTGGTTACATTTTTTGGGGATGATGTCACTTGGGTTAGTCTTGATCTTGGTCAGTGTTTGAAATGAGTTGCTTGAGGTTTTAATTTAACACATCTGTTCTCAAGTAATACAAGGTCTTGCTAAATCAATAGCTTGGGATGGAGGAGGAAAAACATGTTTAATTGAGGTTTGCACTCTTCAAATATTTATTCCCTATACTCTTAATGAATCCTGATGCTAAGCCACTTTAACTAATATTTTGTTCTGATATTATAGACTAATATTTAGGCAACAAGATCTCCTGGGTGATCTATTTGTGTCCCCCCCCCCATCATGGGTTCTTAAATGCTAAAAGATGTCAAAGGAGACGCTGAAGCAGCAAAGATTGCTCGCTGCGGTTGTTTCTTCACTCGTCAATGTAAAAAATTTAAACATAAAATCCCATAGTTAATCATAGCATTGCCTAATATAAATTATGACAAGCCGCCGTATATAGGAGAGATCCAAACTTGGAGGTGAGAGAAATACATGGATTCACACATAATCATTGTTTTTAAAATCGAATCGAACCGAACGGTTCAACCGGAAATCGTTACCTAGTCCGGTTCAAACTAAATCGGTTGAACCGTTATTAGTGAACCGGTCAGAACCGTTGAACCGTTCGAACCGGACTGAAAATCTGGAAAACCCGGGAAAAACCGCCAATTTTTTTTTTTTTTTAAAAAAATTAAACCAAACGACGTCGTTTGTTAAACGAGCCAAGTCGAACTTGAGTATTGCTGAGCTCTGCTCAAACTTTAAAAGTAAGCTCAACTCGACTCAAACTCCCGAACTAAAAATTATCAAGTTCAACTCAAACTCGAAATATAATATTGTAACTTGAACTCGAAATATAATATTAAAACTTGAACTCGAAAAGGCTTGAACTCAAAAAAAAATTAGAAGCTCGATTGAAGCCTAAAATTCGAGCTTGATTGAAGTGAAAGAATAGTCCACTCTATGCTCACCAAAAGGCTCTATGATTTTGAATGTCAAATTACCTCTATTATTTATAGAAGTTAGTTGGGATGTTCTTCTATGTTTCTTAACCATGTGGGATTGATTTGTTATCATATTTTTACTCTTTAGATTTTTGGGATGCTCTTCTATGTTTCTTAGCCATGTGAGATTGTTTTTAAAAAAAAATTAAACCAAACAATATCATTTTGTTATGAATTTTTAGCCCCAAATTTATTTTTTAATTATAGTTATATAGTTATATTTATTATTTAATATGTTTTACCTTAAATATTATGTTGTAGTTAATTTGAATCATTTTGTTTCACTTGATTTTATGGTTTTTAACTCATATATGTTATGACTTGCTTTGAATATGACTTGTGATATACAAAATTATTTTTTATTAAATATTTTTGGTATTTTTATTTAATTTTTTAAATAATTATAACGTCGTCCGATTCTTTCGACCGATTGAACCAGTGAACTGATAGCATGACCGGTTTATTAACGGGTTCGGTTATGAAAACCATGCACATAATCACCCTTTTTAGCGAGTAAGAGGAGACACATGAGCTTCTTGGGATTTTTTTTAATAAATTTTTATTTCCACATCAGCTATATGTCATTTTATGTGGATTTGTTTATTATTTTTAAATTGCCACATAGTATTCCTGTTGATTTTTAAATTGATGACCAAAGTCAATTATATAAAAAATAAAGAGATTATTCGCATAGTTTAACCATAAAAATAAAACATCACAATAATATATCAGCCGAAAATATCATAATCCAATCAATTTTGCATCATTTATTATATTAAAATTCAATCGATTGTGGTCTATTCACAACATAAGAATTCAATGATTGTGATCCATTCACAATTCAAACTTTTAAACTTTGTTTGAAAAATTTAGTGTTAACTTTTAAACTTAATTTGAGAAATATAGTGTATAGTGGCGCTAGACGAATTAACTATAGTATTCATTTTTATATAATGGAAAACATACAATAAGTTGGAATTTTGTTTGAGAAACACAGAAAAAACAGAAAATTCTGCAGCGAAGTCATAGTTGTATCATATACATAGCTACTATGAATTCTAAAGGAAAGCATTTGAAAGATTATATAATGAATTTTGTTTGATACCTAGGGATTCAAATAGCGAAATGCAATTGCAATAGCGGCTGTTATTCACGGTAGTGCCGCAGTCTGAAATCGATATTCGGAAAAATCACGGTGGATAGCGGAATCACGTCAATAGCGGTCAGTTGCATCCGTAATTTAATGAGTAACGCCAATAACGGGACGCTATTATTGTTATCTACTGCTACTGTGAAAAAAAAGACAAAGCTGAAACCTTACGTGCATCGTCGAGCTTCTCTACCGGTGAAGAAGTTGAGCAGTAACGATGAACTTCCACTTTGTAGCAGATGAAACTTGATTTTTTTTCTTCTTTGTTTCAATAAATGAAAGGTCGGGGAGGGGAGTTGAGAATGTATACCACATCGGTTCTAGATGGGCCTGGTGAAGAAGAGCCGAGGCTAGGAGCATGTTCCTCGGTTGATGAAGACTGTGGGCTTGAGGTCAACGGTGATAGCGTTAGAGATTTGGCTTTCGGCTTGTTAGGTGTCAATGTTGGTGGGCTTGAGGTCAACGGTGATAGCGTTAGAGATTTGGCTTTCGGCTTGTTAGGTGTCAATGTTGGAACTGTGGCTAGTGGAGATTTGAGAGTGAAAACAATATTTTTTTCTTTCAGAAAATGAGAGGTCAAAGAAGGGGGAGTTGGCACATTTATTTTACTTTTTTATTTTTTAAAATAATTTTTAAGTATAATTTTAGAGGATATATTAATTTTACATCCCTCCCACCTTTTAAAATTTATAATTTAATTCATAGTTTAAAATGTAAACTTTAATTTTTATTTAATTTAGTTCTAATTTCAATAATCTAAATTTCTACAATTTAAATTTTACATTTTTATTATATTTAATTTAATTATTTTAGGGTAAATTGTTTGACATTTAAAAAAAATTTATGATCACGACACCCGCAATCACCATTATGACATCTGTTATATCTGCTACGGTAATATACACAACACGACCGAAAACATAACCGTAAACACTATTTAAATCTCTGCCTATACCAGTAACCATCTCGAGGGGGAATGCAATAGAAATCAACACACGGTGCTCTAAGAGCAAACCTAAATCAATGAACTATGACCTGCAATTATGAGATTTTTCAAAGTAAAATCTCTACAACTCAACGGAGCTGAAAACCAAACATCATTTGCTGTATTTTTAACTAGTCTTAATTGAGCTCAAACTTGGAAAATAAAACTCATTCTAGCTTCCCAGATTAATCTAAAATCACAAACACAACTACGGCAAAAGAAACAAACATCAACCACCATATTAAGAATCGCAACATTTAGCATTATCAAGTCTACAAAATCCCAGATTCCACACCATATTACTGATTCATAACATTAGAAAGAAAAAAAACTAAAGTTCAATAGTTGCAAAACATATAATTAAAAACATAAAAGACAACCTTAATCCACGCTCTGCATGATATCCTCGGCCGAAAACTTGGTACCCTTATCTTTATCAGCAGCGGCGCGTCCCTTGGCTTTACGATCCAGCAACGACTTACGATCCTTGTCGAGTCTGAGCTTGGTGATGACAACTTTCGACGGGTTGATTCCGACGTTGACGGTGGTACCGTTCACCTTCTCTCGGGTGATGCGCTCGATGTGGATCACCCATTTGCGACGGTAGACCTGAACGACTTTCCCTTCGCGTCCTTTGTAGGTTCCACGAACGACTTGGACCTCGTCGTCCTTGCGGACCGGCATGGACCGTACGTTGTACTTGGACCTCAGATCGGATGAGAGAGGCGCGCTCATGAGCACGCGGCGGACGGACGAGGGGGCCGTGAAATGGGCCTTGCGGCTCTTGCGGCGTGAGGAGGAGACTCGTGGGTTGTACTTCATTGTTGCGACGGCAGGATGGCGATTGGTTCCTCTTCGACTCGGCGGCGGCAAGTGAAGAAAGTGGAGAATGAGTGTTTGGAAGAATATATGGTTGAAGAGTGGAGAAAACTAGGGTTTGCTTGGGAATGTAGGGGGCCTGGGCGTTATGGGTCTAAATGGTTTCTGAGGCCTATCTTATTACTTTATTTTCATTTATAATAAAATAAGACAATGCGAAAATTAACCCCCCAATATATATTAAACTAATTATTTTATCTCATATTCAATTTTATAACATTTTGATATTCATGTTTTATTTTGAAAAAATATATTTATCGATAAAATCATTAGTTAAAAAATAATTTTTTTTGATAAATCTAGAGTGAATACAAGATAATATCTATTCAAATATTCTCAACCAATTAACAATGAACCCTCATACCATTGTTATTGCTCGAACCTATAATCTTTAGGGAGAATAACAAGTCTCTTAACTATCAATGTTACTTAGTTTGTGTCAGTTAAAAAATTGTTAATGCTCTAAAATAATGGGTATTTTTGTCTTAAGTTGAAATATTGGGAGCCAAAATACTCTATAAAATATATTAGGTCAAAGTGATTATTCATACAAACGTTAAATTTTTTATCATAAAATAAAAATTAAAAATCAAAATGATCTAAAATCATCCTTTTTAATAAACTTTATTATTTCTTGACAAAATGACTCAAATTTCTAATTAGGGTTTAGATAAAATTAACCCACGGGTGTTTGTTTAAATAACTACTTTGATTCGTTTTTTTATGAAATATTTTAAATCTTAATATTTTATTTTTTAATCAAAATAATTTTATTTAGATGAAAATTATTATTGTATTAATAATCAATATATTATTGATATAATATTTTTTCTTGATATTTATTTAGTTCATAACTTATGTCAAATCAATGGTGGAACACAACAGGGGTTAGTAGGGCCATGGCCCCCTAAATTTTAAAAATTTATAATTTAAACCCTTAAAAATTTTGAAATTTTAATTTGGTCTCTTTAAAATTTTTAGAAATTCAAATTAAATTATATTTTTTTGAATATTTTTAATTAAATCTCCTCTCATTATTTTTAAAAATTTTATTAAGTCTCTCAGAATTTCAAAAATTTTAGTTATACTCTAACTTTTTGAAAAAAATGTAAACTAAACTCTTTAAAAATTTAAACCTCTAAATTTTTTAAAGTTTAAAATTAGTCCCCTAAACTTTATCATTAAATTATGTCGCTGTGTCTAATAATACAGTATAATAATACAACATATGTTAAATAATCAAATGTAATGATGTATAGATCCATTAAGTGACTCTATTGGTTAAATAAAATTTTATTTTCTTAAAATATTTTAATATTTTAAGTTTTCGTAGAATAAGTATATATTATCAAAATTTTAATAAAATATTTTATTTTAATTACCTCATATTATTAAAAAAAAATGTAATGATGCATCTTATGCCGTATCATCTAATGCATAAACGGATCATCCACATTCCTCTCCTTTTAAATGAATAAAATTTCGAAAATATTCTCATCTCCTTTTAAAAACCCTCAAAATCAAAACCCTCAGACCTAACAGGCTAACAGTGAAACGCCCACTCTTTATTTCTCAAACAATGGCATCCTCCATCACAAAGATCCCCACCACATCTCTCTTCAAGCACGTCATTTCTTCCTCACCAAAGCCGCCCGTTTTCCGGTTCTTTTCCACCGTCACCACCGAGAACCGGACCCAGAAACTAGAGCGCATCGCCGACGAGCTCTTAGATCTTACAAAGCTCGAACGCTATGATTATTCCATCCTCTTCCGCCTCAAACTCGGGCTCAACCGCTACGGCCCCGCCGTCTCCGGCGTCACCTCCCCCGCCGCTTCGGCACCCGGAGCCAGCGCATCCGAAACGAAAGCCTTGGAGAAGACGGCGTTCGATATAAAGCTGGAGAAATTCGATGCGGCGGCGAAGATAAAGATAATCAAAGAAGTGAGGTCGTTTACGGATTTGGGATTAAAAGAAGCTAAAGACTTGGTGGAGAAAGTTCCGGTGGTCGTTAAAAAGGGCGTTACGAAAGAAGACGCTGAATCTATTATTAAGAAGCTCCAGGAATTGGGTGCTACTGCGGTACTTGATTGATTCTTTCTTTCTTCCTTCCTTTTAATTTTGAAACAACATTGTTCTGATGAAATTGGGAAAGAAGTTAGACGAATATATTTTTGTTCTTGTCATTACCATTAGAATTTGAAAAATGGAAAACTTTGCCTGAATCAATTTAGTCCATTTACACAAGTTTGGGCTATTTCGGTTTATTGAAATTCTTTGGAGAGAGTTTAATGCTTTTTAGTTTATGCGTGTATCGAATTTGATTGGATTAGATTGGGGAGAGGATTGTTTTGAGTAATGTAGTACCGGTACTTCATTTCTAAGATTACGTTGCTAGTCCAGATTGTCGATTTAGCCGCTTTGAACAGTTAAGAGTTTGTATATTTGTATATTTATGAAGGTATTTAACGTTTGTTTGGAACTTTAATATGATTTTTGTTTCTTGGTTCCTGAAGATATTTATATTCGATTCACTTAATGTTGTGGACATATTTCTTTAATTTTCTAGAATATCATAGTAAACATACTTGTTTACTTGTACCTTCAAAATTCGTCAACATGTCAATTGCAACCTTTTAAAGCCAAAGAAAATGGTGAAGCCACAAGGATAAAGTGATTTCTTGATAGGGATGTCCATTGCGGTTATCAAAACTAACGGCATTATGAAAGGCTGAGCTACGAGCACCATTAAGAATCTGCCAAGACCAGACACAACTGCAATAGGTCATGCTTTATGCCAAGCACTTGCATGATAATACCCTCCTCCTCCTGTCTGACTTTAAATCATTATGTCCAAGGGAAGTGAGATTTTCTTCAGCAAAAGCTTTAACATATTTAGCTGCTATCTTGCTTTGCCTGCTGGATTAACATAGCCTGTTTCTTGAAGAGGCAATAAATAAATTAACAAGGCATCCATTTGTTGGAAAAATTGTGATAAATTGGTAACTTTGATGCATGTTTTCTAAGGGTAAAGACAGAGATTCGAATAATGAATTTACTGATTTATATTCTACTCTATGAGATCTTTACAACGATATATCATATGCTCAAAACAGTTGAGTGATGAATGAAAAATTGATGCTAAAATTAGGATACATGTGAATTTTGTTATGCAAGGAAAATAGGAAAACTCATATCTATCTTGATGGGATAACAAACATGTGAATGATTTTTATACATCAACCAACTTATTAGTATTTGTATGACTTAAGTTAATACTGTGCCTCGCGCGTAGGAATAACCCATTGGGGTTTTAACAATATCTTTTCCTTTTAAAAATTGATTTTATTTTTTTCGCGTTATACTATAATACCATTCTCGTCCAAGATCAGACCAGCTATGATACAAGTACGCTCATCGGCTCTAACAGCTAATGCACAACCTGTAGCAACTTCGAATGTGCTAAAATTTAGGAAAGCATTTTTTAACAAATTTTGGTTCTCTGATGACCAGTAGCACCATAATCAACACCTACAACAATTCCTCTTCTCAGCGAAAGGGTTTAACAAGATTCAAGTTGAACGGCAGAGGACGTACCAGAAAAATGTTTTCTCAAGCCACCAATCTCTCTATATGTTATATTACTTCAATTCTTCATTTTTCCTTATGCATCCGTGTCTCATACACCTGCCTCGTGAATACTTGGGTATAGAAACAGCGCATGGGGAATGATCCTCAAAGGACCCTTCCAATGTATACTTGGATATAGGTATAGGGCATGGGAATGTTCCTCCAAGAACTCTTCAAATACACAAAAAATATGAAGACAAAATAACTAGGGTTGGACACGAACTTATGTCTGACACATGCACCTTCGTATGTGTCTTAACCGATTTTCGCCCGGGCACGAATTTTTTTACTTACTTGGCGGGAAAAGTGATGTGAATAAATGGTTTTTAAAATAATTTGGGAGTCGCCATCGGCCTTTTGGGTTAGGTAGGTCGAATACCTAAAAATTATCTTTTAAAAGAGTTTTAAGAAAACATCAGTTAAAAGATGAACTGATCTGCGTTTATAACCAAAAATTTGTTCTTTTTAATAATAAAAAGGGATTTGTGGTCGGTTACGTTTAGGGAAGGATTAGCACCCCTACAACGCCCAAAATTGGTACTTTTTAATTATAAATTGTCTCTTATTATTAGAAATTAAAATTCAAAATATTTAATTTAAATTTATTACTATAATTTTAAGTAAATTTATTAATTTATATAAATAAGATATTTATTTATTTAGAAATATCAGAAAAGAGCTTCTAGGTGTTTTAAGACAGCTCATTCCTTTGATATTAAAAAATAAATAAATATTAAAACATTTATCTAAAAAAATAGATTAATATATACAATTTATAAAAGTAAAATATTTATTTATTTAAAATTATCAGAAAACAGACATCTAGTTACTTTAAGACTATCCTTTTCTTTGATATTAAAAAATAAATAAACATTATTATAAATTTTTTATAAAATTAATCAAATAATATTAATATGATTAAAATAATAATAATTATTAATTTAAATATATAACAATAGAATAAAATTGCAATGTAATAAATAAAATTAAAATTATATGATCAAAATATAAAGTATTGAAAATGAAAGATCAAATTCGAAATATTAAGAAATCTATATCCTAATATTTTAATTTAACCTTAATTATTTATTCAGGGCTAAAATAAAATTTATAAAACTATGAGGGACTAAATGTGATATTTATCCTAAATATATTATTTAATATAAAGGACTAAAATAAATAAAATTAAAATTAAAGAACCGAATTATAAAGATCTAAAATTGGGTTCAGTGACTAAAATATAAGGTTATAAAATTATAATGGCTGCGGGAAGGGTTTTACCCTTACCAAATTACACACAGGTCCTCCCTTAAACGACGCCGTTTAAGAGAGGGTATAAATACCCTATGCTGGCTGGCCCTTCGGGCCAGTATCTCATTTCTCTTTTCTCTCTTCTTTCGATATTTGGCTGTTGGGTTGTTCTGTGTTGGCTTGCTGTGGTTACTGGTTTGCTTGCCCTCTCTTCGTTTCTGTCCCCTTTTTTGTTTTGCAGGATCCGGTGGCTTTTATAGCCACCACCGAGCCATGCTCGGACCGGTTTAGAGGGGGAAGTTCGGTGAGTCACCGAGCTATGTGGTGACTCACCCCATAGCCGCGACATGTGGGGGGGAAGCTGGCCTTCTGGAAGCTTCTGGTGAAGCGGCTGCTGGAATTCAACGGCGAGGTGGCGTGGCACTGGAGGCAACAGCGGCTGGGACGTGTCCCTAGGGTTATGATACCCTAGGGTTTCCTTGTTGGGACCATCTGGGCCGTTGGATCAAAACTAGATCCAACGGCTGTGATGCTGGCGGCTGGGGCAAGAGATGATATAAACCCTAAATTAGGTTTAGGGTTTCTTATGGGCTTGGGCCAATTGGGTCATTTGTAACTGGGCCGATCCAGTCTGATCTGGGCCTGTATTTATTAATAATAGAATAATAATAATAATAATAATAATATAAATAATATTTAAATGAAAAAAATGAATATCTTCAGCTGCCCCTCTTTGCTTATTCTTGTGTTAACAAGAATAGAGCAAAGATGAAAAGATAATAAGTTTTTTTCATTTGACTTCCCTTGATTATGATGAAATGTTGAAATAATTCTTCTTTGGGATTAGCTCTTCTCATTATGAACTTTTCCACTGGGGATGACAACTCATCTCCTTTTGTGATGTAATCTAGCAAAAAGTTGAACAAATTCTCCTTATTATGAACTTCTTTTTCTTCAGATGAGTTCTTCTCATTATGAACTCACTCTGGAAATGCTGATGATGATATATCTCCTTCTGTGATAGAGTTATGCAAAAGGTTGAACAAGCTCTTCTCATTATGAACTTCTTCTTCCTTCTTCAGATGAATTCTTCTCATTATGAACTCGACTTCTTCAGATGAGTTCTTCTCATTATGAACTTTTTCTGGAAAAGCTGATGTTGATCTATCTCCTTCTGTGATAGAATTATGCAAAAGGTTGAACAAATTCTTCTCATTATGAATTTCTTCTTTCTCTTCAAATAAATTCTTCTCATTATGAACTTTTTCTTCTTTCTTCAGATGAGTTCTTCTCATTATGAACTTTTTTATGGAAAAGCTGATCCATCGAGTGATTAATTCGAGCGAAAAGTTGAACAAGTTCTTCTCATTATGGACTTCTTATTCCTTCTTCATATGAGTTCTTCTCATTATTAACTCTTTCACTGGGGATGCTGATCCATCAAATGATGAATTCAAACAAAAGATTGAACAAATTCTTCTCATTATGAATTTCTTCTTCCTTCTTCAGATGAGTTCTTCTTATTATGAACTCTCTCTGGCAATGCTGGTCCATCGAATGATAAATTCAAGCGAAAAGTTAAACAAGTTCTTCTCATTATGAACTTCTTCTTCCTTCTTCAGATGAGTTCTTCTTATTATGAACTCGCCCTGGCAATGCTGGTCCATCGAATGATAAATTCAAGCGAAAAGTTGAACAAGTTCTTCTCATTATGAACTTCTTCTTCCTTCTTCAGATGAATTCTTCTCATTATGAACTCGCCCTGGCAATGCTGGTCCATCGAATGATAAATTCAAGCGAAAAGTTGAACAAGTTCTTCTCATTATGAACTTTTTCTTCTTTCTTCAGATGAATTCTTCTCATTATGAACTCGAACTGGTAATGCTGATCCATTGAATCATGAATTCAAGCAAAAAGTTGAACAAGTTCTTCTTATTATGAACTTCTTCTTCTTTCTTCAGATGAGTTCTTCTCATTATGAACTCGAACTGGTAATGCTGATCTATTGAATCATGAATTCAAGCAAAAAGTTGAACAAGTTCTTCTCATTATGAACTTCTTCTTCTTTCTTCAGATGAATTCTTCTCATTATGAACTATAACTGGTAATGCCGATCCATTGAATCATGAATTCAAGCAAAAAGTTGAACAAGTTCTTCTCATTATGAACTTCTTCTTCCTTCTTCAGATGAATTCTTCTTATTATGAACTCGCCTTGGCAATACTGGTCCATCGAATGATAAATTCAAGCGAAAAGTTGAACAAGTTCTTCTCATTATGAACTTCTTCTTCCTTCTTCAGATGAATTCTTCTCATTATGAACTCGCCCTGGCAATGCTGGTCCATCGAATGATAAATTCAAGAAAAAAAGTTGAACAAGTTCTTCT